GCAGAAAATGCAGTTATCATTGGTAACAAGACCAAAACATTGTAATTTGTCCCTAATGGAAAGCCAATCCAAAATAATCATTCATAAGATAATGTTGTGCTTTGGAATATAGACGGGATACCATATCAGTTTTTTCCATGAAACTTTAGTGTCTTTGGGTCGAATTTCTTCCCAAATTTATTTTGTGCTTTTTGCAGCTGTTGCAAGGACTGATCGAGCAACACGTCTTAGTTTCAATCTGTCACCATTATTAATATTTGTTTTATGAAACACTAGAGATTTTGATTTAATTACAAATATTAAAAATAATTTTGTATTGTAATGGATTTTCTATTTTTTCAATTAAGGGCTCTTTTATAATGTTGGGAGAAGATTATCCAACGATATGATATTTTTTCAACTATTAAAAAAATAATTTTTATTTTTAAAAATCACGAATTCAAACGATTTCAAAAATAATTAAATGCTCATTTTTAAATAATTAAAAATACTTAAAATAAATACTATTTTATAATAAATTTAACTTAATAAAAAAATTTAAGATGTTATAACAGTTTGAATAATGCTCTTCTGTCACTTCCAAGATGACGACACGTAAATGCAGAAGATTTGGATCAGACTAGCAAGTTGAATGCACTCGCACCCATTTATTAGTATTGTCATTACGTGCGAGGGGAAAATAACAGTATTTCAATCAATAGTTATTTACTCTCAATTGTTTTATATACTCAAATTCAAGACTTAATAAAATAAAAATAATTTATTTACTTTCGAGATTTGTTTGATTCTTTTACCTAAAAGATGTTATTTTAATCGATAGCATTGTTCGAATATCATTTTAAAAAGGTTTTATTGTAATATTCTTAATTATTTAATAATATTTTTTTATAAATATTCTCAATTATTTTATAATAAACACTCATATTTTTAATATTTATGGTGTTTGAACTCAAAACTTAAAAAAATAACAACAAATGTCTTAATAATTGAAGTCACTTTATTAGTAAAAAATTAAAGCATTTAAATTTAAATTAACAATAAGAAATTAATTTCTAATTGCCTTTTATTCAACTTTATTTACGAGTTTGATTAAAACTAAATATTTAAAATATTATTATACTTTCTCTTGTACCTCTTCGATAAGTAATGTCTCAACTATTATTTTTCTGTTTATTAATATTTTCAAAAAAAGTGTTTATAGGTATTAGGGTTTTAAAATTGTTTTAAAAAAAATACTTTTAAAAGTATTTTTGAAAATGTAGTTTAAAATTTAATTGTTCGAGATTATTTAAAAAATGATTTTTGAAAAGATAAAATATTCATTTTAAACGTTATATTGTAAACTAAAATTAAATAATTAAGGATAAAAATATAATTTCATCCAAAAAGTAATTTTCCACAACAAAAACTAAAAATTAAAATTTTTAATATTAGATTGAAAATCACTTTTTCAACTGTAATTTTAAATAAATTTTAAGTGTTTAACATCGATTATAAAGTAGAAAATCAGTTTTCAATTGCCAAAAGCATTCTCAAACTAGAAAAATCTTTATGTTAATCTACTCTTCAAGAGACTCATGTACAAAATAAAATTCTTTAAAAAAAAAACGAAATAGATAATACTATAAATAAATATTTGGATAAACTACTTATTTAATACGTAAATTATTATTCTTATTCCATCTTAATATCTAAACTTTATTTTTATTTAAAATTATACTAAACATTTAATTGAAATTTTTGTTGGAATCATATGTTAAAAACATAACAGTAATAATGTCGTCTCAGTGTAAGATAATATCTGAAATACCTTGTGAGAGAAGCTTTAAAGCATCCTTGCTATCGTTTTCCACGATAATTTTCCTTAGACCCATATCCCATTCTATGTCTAAACCTGCAAACACTCCCCACAACTCTACTTCCAAGACCGAGCAGCAACCAATAGCCTTTAAGCCATTTACCATGGGAGTCTGGCAAAACGCCGCCATAAGTTGTCAATCCAGTATTCGATTTTCTAGCCCCATCGGAATTTAACTTACACCGCCCCAAGGGAGGCGGTTGCCATCCTAGTTCACGAGGGAAGTTGCCCAGTCGAGTGTACTGATGTGCAGATTGCATAGTGATCGCTCGTGTTGCAAATCCCAATCCATACTATCCTTCGCAAAATAATCCGGCTTAGTGAGATTGACTTGTATCTAATCTGTCAAGGGCAAAGTAGAAAAACTCATGCAATCGTTCCTGTTTAATAACATTGAATAGGCGTGAGCGTACGTTTCAGGATGTAGCGTGTATCCCAAGAGAACAGAAGAATATGATAATTCCATTGTTCAGTTTCAGAATTGGAGAATATTAACATTGCTATCCTTTATTTATAATATAATATATATATATATATATTTGATAAATCTGTATGATTAAGATATAATATTTGCTCAAATACTCCAAACTTTTGATAACTAACGGTTGCAACTCCCTACATATGCAATGTTCGAACCCATAACCTTAAGGGTTAACAAGTTACTTAATCATGTGGTCACTTGGTTCGTGTCGTAGATATAATAGAATGCGTAAGGTATGTATTTAGTTAGCCAATTATTCTTATGATTATGTTTTTATAACCTAATTATTTTTTTTCAAAATCATTCTTAAAATTACGTTTTGATCACCGTCTATTAAAAAATTAGCAGTGATATTGATTTGTTATTATAAGGTAATGACATATTATATTTGAAAAAATAAAAAAAATAATCACATCGATTGTCCTTTTAGTTTTTTAACGATGAATGATAAAATTATAATAAATGTAACTTTAGATATAATTTTAAAAATAATTAAATAATCAAAATTAGGTGACTAAATACATAGATTATCCAAATATAGTTTACGTGCAAGTAATTTTTTATAATAGTTCGGCGTGGTTGTCCAACGATTAGTCGGCACCGGCTCAACAAAGAAACCATGGGAAAATAATGTGCTTGATTTGTTGATCTAAATTCCTTTTACCCAAAATTCCATATACGGAAACTTATTTCTTCGACGGCCCCACTTGCGTGTTCCTTTTCCTAACTATCATCCACCGTTGATTATTTCCTCGATATCCGTTACGCCTATAGTAAAATGGACGGTCCCGATCTTTGTCTGCATTTGTCTACTTGACTTTTTCCCTATTTTTATTTGACCATTTTACACCATTTTGACCACATTTTTTTAGCTTACAGATTAAATAAGGTAAACTATATGAATATTTTCATTTATTTTTGGATTGACTGACTTTAGTTATTAATTTAAAAATTAAAAGAAAATAATTTTTAATATTATCAATTCATTTGATTTAAGTCTTTAACATTATTAATCCGTTCAATTTAAATCTGTAAATTATTAACTTTCGTTAATCCCTTGACAAAAAAAAAAAAATATGAAGTGGCCATTTCCCACGATTTTGACCACAATTTTTGTATCTTACCGATTAAATAATTGTACGATATATTGTGCTATATTATTAACAATTATTCATTCTTAATTTCAACATTACTCAAAATATTTGAAAGAAATAATTTATTCTCGATTATAAAATTTGTTAGATCAGAAGAAACAATTTCTCCACCTAATAATCAAAATCATCTTCGAAAGAATTTTTTTTTACGAATAAATTTCTTTAATCAATTAAAAACTTTCTATAGGACTTCTGATAATCTCAAATGATTCATGAATATTAAATTTATTAACTGATTATCATATTTATATATTTAATTAATCTATATTTAATTAATTATAATCTTAAACTTTACACTAATATGAATAAAGGATCCATACATAATTTTCTGAGTGAAAAAAGAATCTTTCTTTTGAAATCTGTGGACCCTTTTTCTTTCTGAAATAATAGTTTTTTTTATCTATTTGTTATCACAATTACTCGTTAACAGTTAAAAATTAATCGACCTAATTCATTTACTTTATCAATAAAATTATTAATAAATTCTTTTATTTGTTATATTATGTAATATGTTCAATTTTCAACACAAAAAACCTACTCGTAATTCGGCGACTTGGACTTCAAAGTTACCCTTATTCAAGTTACTAACTATTCCCTTTCCCCTTGTTGTGGAAACATAAAACCAGTCACAAGAAAATTATATTATAAGATAAATTATATATTTAAGCACTTAATTATCATTTTTATTTTATTTTAATCACTCAATTTATTTTTTAAATCAGTCATAATATTACATTTTTATTTTGTTCTAATTATCCGTCATTACAAATTAAACAAAATTATTAATGTGAGAATTTTTTATTCTTTTCAACGATAATATGATATAATCTTATGATGACAGGTCATTAAGTCAACGTTACTACTATTTTCAACTAAAGATGATAAAAATAAAACTAAAACGTAATTATATATATATTTAAATATTTGAATAACTAAAACATAATTAAGATTATAGTTGGAGGACTAAATAGTAATTTATCTTATATTATAATTATGAATGGTTCCTTTTTGTGATCATGACGACGTTGGCAGTATTACAGTTCAAGAGAATATAAAATAATAAAAAATATATCTGCTGTAACAAAGGTCAAACAGTTTGGTTAAGGGTAATGATTTAACAAGGGAAGTGGATCAGAAACTCGTGATGGGATTTTCATTTTTTTATTGAAATTTTAATTTTTGTATTTATTTATGTATCTCTGGAAGTGCTCAGAGATTATTATTATTGTTTTAGGGTATAGAAACAGAACAAAGTCAGCAGCAGGCAAGGTATAATCAGTGAGTGTTCCTCAAGGAATTTGCAGCTTCGTCTTTTCATTTTCTCGTGATATACTCTTTCTCTTTCTTTGAGGTGTTTTTGTTTATATATTATATACTCCTTAGCTTCTTTGGGCAAAATTCTTGAAATAATGCTGTGAAAAAAAAATTCTTGAGATGATGCTGTTAAAGAATTAATTGTTAAGATAGGGCGTTTGAGTGTTAGCATAAACCCCTGACAGATAGGTTTTTTATTAAAAAAAAAAACAAAGTCTTGGTGAAAGGAGACACTTTGGGATTTCAGGGTTTTGTTTAACGAGTGGTTTTAAAGAACGGATTTTTGAGGTGATTGGAGCAAGAAAAGAAATGGGTAGTTTTGGGAGGAGTGGTGCAGTCAGGCAGTATATAAGATCAAAGGTGCCTCGTTTGAGATGGACACCTGAGCTTCACCATTGTTTCGTTCATGCCATTGAAAGGCTTGGCGGCCAGCACAGTATGTTCATCTTTCATTCTTCTTATTCATGCTAGTTCATCTTTTTAATGATAATGGCTTTTGTATGTTTCTTTAGAAGCTACGCCGAAACTTGTTCTTCAACTGATGGATGTGAAAGGGCTCACCATTTCACATGTGAAAAGCCACCTTCAGGTACGTCATCTTCTCCATTTTGTTTTTGTTTTCTCTTGTCTTCATGTCCTTAGCCTAAACTCCTTTTTTTCCTTATACACCAGATGTATCGGAGCACGAGAAGTGATATTGGCAGACAAGGTAGTATCACAAAATATTTCTAAAGCTTTCTTCTTGTATGTTTTTTTTCCCATTTTCTGTGACACTTTCCTCTAATGGTTGTCTTTTTGGTGTTGAAAAATCAAAGAGCATACCTACCATGTTTCAGTTCATTTATTATATTCATTTCTTATTCACTTGAATACCAAAATTGATGATAACATGAATTAACTTATTTACTTTGTAAATCTTCTGCTATTGGTATGTCTTGAGAAATCCATCTGTTAATTTCTCAATGTTTTCTGCAACAAATTAAACCACAGAAAATGACAGCCTCCTTTCACCTGTTTTTATTTATTTATTTATTTTTTTCCCAACATGAATAATGCATGCATGTGAATGACAGACAGGAGTTCAAACCATCAAAGAAGACAGTCTTTAGAGAATCATGATGGATGTGTTGATGAAGTAAATGATCATAAGGGTTTTCACTCAGCTTCAAACCCCATTGAAGAAGAAGAATCAGATTCTCATTACGGTTCACTCCGTTCTTCAAAAAGGTCAGCTTTTGTGTAGTCAGTTAGTGCAAGAAGCAAACAAAACCTAATTCTTTTTGTTTGATGTCTTGTCTTCCTCTTCCACCAGAGCTAGAATGGAGACCACCATGAGTACAATTTCTGACGAGACAATGTCAATTCCGCACAGCTTTGATGATCATCTTCACACCATGGGAATAAAGGAGCAGCAGGGTCAATCCTCAACCTTCTCTCAGCTGCCATTTTCTTTCAGATATTCAGTAGAACAACCTAATTACCATAAGGTACACTAACCCAAAACCTACATCTCCTTCTCTCCTCTTTCTCTCTCACTGTTACTTTGCTTTTTGCCAGCTTTGAGTGTAATGTTGGTTTTAGTGTCAACCCAGCTAAAATGGAAGGCTGAGTTGCTTTTATACAAGCTAGTTTTCCACAGACAATGTGGCTGTTTTTGACCAGTGGTGACTGGCATAATTGCCTTCTTCTAACCATACTTTGCCTTTACAACAAGTCTATTTACATAGGGTGTTCACTTAGGATGATGCAAAATAACTTTAGGGTACATTAAGCATAAGTGGATTGAAAAATTGTCTGTATTAACTTTTTTCACTTTCACCTTCTGGGTTTCCCTTTTGATCATAGAAATGAATTAAACTTGGAATTGGGGATAGGACCACTGTCCATGGAAAAGTCGTGTTCTTACATTCTGTGGTCCACTGTGACTCTAGTGAATAGGGGACCTTTTTGGGGGATTGGCCAGAATGGAAATTCAAAATGAACCTTTATTGCATTGGACCAGAAGTTTGGTTTTTCAGAACCAATAGACTTTACAGGTTAAAAGTGGTGGGACTACCCTTTATTGAATTTCATGTTTAGCTTCCCTACCACTTCCATCTGATTCCGCTGTAGCTTTTCTCCCAACTGTGCCTTTTTACTGGTTCTTAGATACCTGTTTTTAATAGTTACAGTGATTATAAGTTATTTTAGCCAATTGTCAACGAATATCTATCCTACGGATGCAGTTGTTTGAATCTTGGTCCTCTCGGTAGAAGAATGTTCTCTTTTATCTACGAGGTCACTTTTGTTATGGTCATTTTACTACTTAAGGGATAATCCATGTTGCGTTAGTAGAAAATGTTTCCATTCTACCCAACTGGGCATGAAACGTGGTCTGCTAGGGTACCAACACTTGATGTTGCTCAATGTCTCAGGTTGGCAAGGTTGAAGTAGAACACGAACACGAAGTGAAACAAGAAGATAAACACATCAAACGGAACGTAAAGAGATCATGCATACAACACGATGAGGAGGAGGAAGAAGAAGAAGGCGGATGTGAATTATCGTTGTCGCTGTCGCTGCAACATCAGCCATCGTCACAGAGAAGTAATACATCTTGTACAAGTGAGATGAGCAGCAGCAAGAGATTGTCATCATCCTACTCTAATTATAAAGACTGTTCCATACCACGTAGTCTTAACTTGGATCTTTCCATTGCTCTTTGTGGCAACTAATCTTCATTTCCCCCCTAAGCTAAATATATGAATATTTGGTCCTCCCTTTTTTCTAATGTTCAAATCACGTTCTCAAGGTTTTGGTTTAGAATTTAAGATTTGGATTCAACAGGAACTTATGTATCATTATATGATCATGTATTGGAATATATGAAGTATGAATTTAAGGGAAAAGAAAACCACTAATTCTTTCTTAATTAAGATTGTAAAAGGTTATCTATATTTTTAATTCAATATGTAATCTATTTAGAATTTTCTTAATTACAATATTGGAGTAATTTACCCCATTTTCCAGTGTTGCAATAATACCACTCTTTTCATGTTAAAAATTATAATTTGATATATAGATGAGTATTTATTATATTATTAGTTAATATTTGAACAAATAATAAAAAGGGAAAACTTATGGGATGAATAAAGCTTAAAAGAGGAACAAAAGACCAAATAAGGAAATGAAGAAAAAGGATGATGAAAATTTAGGCGACATAGTAAGGGTTGGTCAAGTAATTTTTTAAAATTATTTTCTCTTAGAGAATAATATAAGATAATTTTTAGAAAATAACTCATTAGTCCTGTAAACAAACCGAACGCACACGAATGAAGATATGTTCATGTTCGTTCATTTAATAAATAAACGAACACGAAAATAAACAAACAAATTTTTTTGTTCATGTTCGTTCATTAAGGAATATAGTTTGTTCATGTTCGTTCATTTAAATGATAAACAAAAATAAACAAACGTAAACGAACACAAACGAACGAACATAAACAAACATAATAAATGAACATAAACGAACATAAACAAATAGCACAAACACAAAAAACAAACTTATTTGAACACAACAAATGAATGTAAAAAAAAGTAAACAACAAGAATAACAACTTAAAATTCTTTAATATAACCTACAATTTTAGAGTTAATTTGTTCGAATACGACAAAAACATACATAAATGATAAATAAACTATATAAACATAATAAAGTCTTAAAGTTAATTTGTTCAACAAAACAATCTTCTTGAAATCCAAACAACTTCAATAATCTTTGTAACATATTCAACTTACCCTATGTTCGAACATAAATGAACGAATATAAATAAACGAACATATAATCGAACGTTCACGAACGTAAATGAACGAACATAAATGAACGAACAAGCCCTTTGTTCGTGTTCGTTCATTTAATTAAACGAACGCAAAATCTTGTTCATATTCGTTTTAAATGAACATAAACGAACTTTCCGCCGCACAGTTCATGAACGGTTCGCTGAACGTTTAGTTCATTTATAGGCCTATAACTCATAATTAATATGATTTTAAATCTAAACTTAATTTAAATCAAGATAAATATATTTTATTAATAAAACTTTTTAAATTTAAATTATAATAAACATTTCAAATACTAAATGGTTAATATAAAATTAATTAAATATTATAGTTTTCAATATTATTAAACATACTCATCTATATTTTATAATAATATAAATATATTATAGTACTAGTCTTTATTTTGATAGAAATATTATATACTATTGTAATACTTTTATTTGAAAATAAAAAACAATTTATTTTATTACATAACTATTATTAAAATGAAAGTGAAGTAATTAAGTGTTTTCTTTTTAATAAAAAAATATAACTATATTTATTAACAATTCTACCAAAGAAATGCGAGATAAGAACTCGACATGATATAAGATTTAAACCAAAACCAAATTAAAACAAAGCTCACATATTTTCTAAATTAATTAAGTGTTTTTAAAAGGGTAAACTGAATTTCTTATATCTATTAAACCTAAAGTAAAACAAAATTTATGGGTAAATCAAGTTTGGATTATGCTACCTTGGATTAACAAATCATAATATATATAACAAAGTTACAAGTTCCAAACTCCCTGACTAGTGGGTGAAGGTTGCAAGTCAACCAGTAGACATGCTTTAACTTGCCTTCTTCCCATTTTTATCCCCAACCAGTGGCTTAATGCAGAGTTTTGGCTTAGTACTGACATGGTTTAGGGGTAGAGCCGACACGCCAACCACTAGCGATCCATTAGCACTCCGGATAGAGGAAGCAACTCGATGAGAATAGATAGCTGAAAGATTTGCCATTGCAGTTAGGCAGCCGTCAGGGTAGAAAATTTAAGACCATGTACAAGGTGTATAAGATATTTGTACCCCTGGAGATTTCAGATCCACAACTGAATCTGGAACATTGCCTTTAACAGCAGCCGCAACAATGCTGAAGAATTTGTTGCGGTCCAATAATACAGACATATCAGAATTGTTTGAAGCATCTTTCGGAATCTTCACCTGGCTCTCCAGTTCCTCTTCTGTTAAAACCAACTGCAAACTAAAGACAAAAACGATGTTTTAGACTTGCACAACTTCATATTAAGAAATGTTCCATAAGCTCTTAGGTAACATACTGCAAGCATAAAAGCTAAAAGCTAAAACTCAAACCTTTAGAGGTGATGTTAGTTTGTTTCCTTTGTCATTCACATATTGTTGAACGAGTTTTGATACGACTGCATGCAGTTCCTTCTCACTCATGATACATGTAGCTTGGATAGGGAAGATACGATGACACCAACTGCACCAATGAAATACCATTTCACCCAAAATTCAGTAAATATGATAGAATGCTGAAGAAAAAGAAAAGGAAAAAGTATATGAATGATAATGCAAGTATGGAAAAGAGAATGAAAGTATGTTCTGATAAAAATTTAGGTGGACTTTTGGGATACTATACACTTCAAGTCCTGGACCAGCTTATAGAGGGCTTGGGAGTCGGCTATCCTAAAAAATATTTTCAGAAGAGATCTCTGTGTCATTGGAAGATGATTCAGATAGATTACAGTTTTGAGAAAAAGGAGACCAGGGGAACTATAAACACGTCTAAATACAAAAATAAATATAAACTTGAGGATATCTGCAACAAACTTACAGTGGTGACTTTAAACTCCCAGATCCCAGATCACAAAAGATCTTTGAGACAACATTAATTGTGTCTAAGGAGTTCTCCACAGGGAGGGTAAGCAGAAGCAAACCACTCCTTGTTAGCTTAACTAGTGAAAGAGCAAGCTCTGGTGCTTCACTTTTATCAGTATTTGCAGAGATGGAACTGCCATCTTTTGGAATTCCACCTACCACAATGAGGTACTATCAATAAATTAAGAATCCAGGGCCTAAACAAAATTGAAATAATGCCGAAGTCCCAGTTTTTTAGGCCTGAAAACTACCCACCTGCACCATCAGTGATATCCGGGCTGTCAACCCTATTGCCAATATTCTGATCAATTTCTTCAGTACATATTTTCCTTCTCTTAGCATCAACATTTGCATCGGAGGTTCCTGAACTCCCGGAGGTATCACCGATGAAGGGACCAACATACTGGCAAAATATTCGAACAATTAGCAAGCATTAGCATTGACAATAACAATACATGTCTCCAAAATGTAATATTACCAATACCAGAAACCTGTTTTCAATGAAACCTCAAGAGAAACAAAGTGCAGATGCAATTTATCCATTGAACTCTCTTTTGTAATAGAGTAACTGATGAAATGGAATTCAAAAGTGATAAAGTCTACATGATCAAAGGCACCAATTCAGTGTTTTGGGACCGATGTTTAGAAGCAGAAAACCACACAGCAATTAATTAAAGTCTACATGATCAAAGGCACCAATTCATGTTTCTTTCTACCGTTGAATAACCAAGCTTTTGTCTTTCTTCTTCTTCTCTCGAATATCATTCAAAGTCCCATGACATGGTTCAATGAAATCAACAACTTGGAATGTCTTAAATAGGAAGTATATATCAAAATTGAGATGAAAAGATGGACATGGCTTCTTTCGTAGCGCTCTTCTCCCTCTCTGATAACAAGAGAAACGAAAATATCAAATCCCCATTTCCAAATTTAGTGAAAGAAGAGGAGACAGAAGAAAATGAGTGAAAGGGACTGGAAAAGTACTGATAGTGCAAGTGATGAGAAAAGCAGAGTGAGAACGTTGAAGCAAAGAAGAAGGAGCCTTGTAATCGAAGCGAGGGATGCTTATAACTTTGGCGTGTTGCTCCCATGGAGTCATTGGGCTTTCCCGCTCTTCTCCCGCCTTCTTCGATTCCATGTTCAGTTCCTTTCTTTATTCTTCACACATTTCATATTGCTCTGAAAATCCCTCTTAAAATTTGAAACCCCAACTTCTCTCAGCTAAATGAGGGGAAGCGGTTGTGGTGAACTATTACTTAATTACGGTCTTTCTTTAATTTGACAAATAATTTTTTTAATTTTATTAATCAGATCATTAGGTCAATTTTTTTCTTTTTTTTATCTGATCAACTTTAATCACCGATATATTAATTAAGTGCGTTAAATCTTTAATATTATTAGTCTATTCAGTTTAAGTCTCTCCGCCGTTAGATTATGTTAACTAATTAACAAAATTATTACGTTGGTAATTTAAAAATAATAAATAAATTCATATAAGTCATGAGAATAAAATTTTATTAAAAAAACGCAACGACCCCTTCTTAAAAAATAATAGAAGAAAACATGGAGCAATTTAGCAACTCTTGACAATCTCCATAAAACCATCTTAGCAACTGTGAGCTTTTGTGACTGCGAATCAAATATGATGCTTTGCCGAATGCTTTTAATGTCTCCATTTCGTATTCGAATTTGAAACTCAAAGAACCAATTTTGTCATTGACTTTGAATCTTGGCCAGTACGTTAATGATTTCATGTACGTTGAGTTTTCGGGCTCAATCCAAGGCAGCACTGAAGTTCAAAATATAGATTGGTGGAGTTTTAATTCTTCTTTCGAGTCAAATTCAGGGCGAACAGCTTCTCAACCGCCGTCGCTGCAGTCAACGTTTACTTTAACGAACCCAACAGTGAATACAGCTAATCCTCCACCGCCTTCGTTGGCTCTTTCAGGTCTGAATTCCATTTCCACTGCTCAAGGAAAGACCAGTAAGTCATCTTCTTGTCATAACCAGCTCTGCAAACAAGGTTCAGGGGCGATCGTTGGAGTCGTAACTACCAGAGCTTTCTTTTTAGCCTTATTTGTGGTAGCTCTAAT